TATGTGAGAAAACTCATGTGGATGAACATTTTTAAACCTCATCCTTCTTCTCTACCATTATATCATCAATCATTTTTCCATGTCTCTGTACTCAGTTATCCATAATACTGGCAGTGTGCAGCTCAATATTACTTTTTGGAAATATCACTTTGTTAATTGTAAAATGTCTCTTAATCTTAGGTATATAATCCTTCTCTTTCTTAATCATAATTCTTTTCAACACTGTTATAAATGTTGGATATAATAAAAGTTTGAGGATGCAGAAAGAATTTGGATTCTGAATCTTTTAGTAAGATTACATCCATTTGACTGTGTTTTACATGATTAGTGAAGGAAACCTGCTGTTATAAAAGTTTGCCTGTGTGAAATAAATACAAGGCTTGTTTTGCTCATTAGTTACTATTTATCAAAAAGAACCTCAATAGCAACATATAGCACATTGTTATCTACCTCTGTGCAGGGTGCACATATAAAGATAAGAGGCCCAGTATTACTCCCAAAGGACATAAAGAACCAGTTCCCTTCATTTGGAGTCCTCTAAAGACAAACTTTCAAGGGTACCTTAAAGAGCCATGCTTTTTAATTTTAAACACAAAGGAAAAGTGCTTTTTGCCCTTAGTACCCTCATGACTAGAGAATTCAGTTTATTATAAACTCAATCTTTAAAAATTAGATAAGAATAATTGACCATTAACATGTGTTACTCTGTGAACCCAGGATTCATTCATGAACTACTGTGTGTACTTGAATATTCTGTAGTTAGCTTTTTTTTTAAACTGGGGATATGTGCTGGAGTATGTCAATTTTGCAGAAGATTGCTTGAAGGATGGAGTTGAAGACTAGAAGAAACAATTCCTACAAATTTGATATGGCGAAAATGAGACACTTCATATGAAAATAATTTCTAAAGTATGAAACCCTATGTAAATATAACATGTCAATGTGTTTCTTTTTTATTGTGAAAATACTGTACAGAGGGGTTACAATTACATGGGCAAGATAATGAGTGCATTTCTTATCAACATTGTTGCCTCCTCCTTTGTTTCCCCTTCCCATCCCATCCTCCCACTGCCCCCCCATTCAGCCCTCTCCCCCACCAAATTTGTATTCAACTGTTTTTTTTCTTTCATGCGATTGTTTCTAACACATTTATAAGATTATTTCTTTGTTGCTATGTATGTCCCTCCCCCATGGTATAACCCTTGCTTTCACTGTATTTGATGTTGTTATAATTAGTGGAGGGGAAGGGAAAAAACAGATCGTTTAAATAGGGATACAGGTGGACCCATTGCAACAATGAGACGTCAATGTGTTTCTTAATTGCCTTCATGAATGAATGTGCCAGAGTAATTAAGTCATGACAATGGTTGGGAGAATTATGGTAGGCCAACTATTCAAATATATTTTAAAAATCACACATTGGTGTTAGATTTATATGATAATGCAACATTTCCCAGCCAATATGTATGATAATGCATTAACTACACAAGATGTTGGTAGGTTAAGAAGACTAGCAAAGGTTTCTTAACTGCATCTTGTGGATTGAAATCTATTCTTACATTTAACTTGTTTTCAAGTACTGTGAGAATTCCCAACTTAACTTAAAGTCTTTTTATATATACTGCTGAATAACACTGAATTTGCACTAGGCTATCATAGAGTTTGATGCATCAAGTCTGGTTTTGTTGCCCTTCCAGTCTATTTAATAGCATACAAAAGACACATTGATCTCTACTACAACTTTGTATGGAAACATTTCACAAAAGATGGAAAAGATTCTGAAGACTTTTTTAATGGCTGGAGCTTGAACTCAAGGCCTGCACATTTTCCCTGAAGTTTCTTTTTATTCAAAGCTAATGCTCTACCACTTCCAGTTTTTTTGGTGGTTAATTGGAGATAAGAGTTTCACAAGCTTTCCTGCCCAAGGGGGCTTCATAAGACAATATTCAGATCTCAGCCACCTGAGTAGCTCAATTTACAGATGTGAGCCACAGGCTCTCAACCAAAGGCAATATTCTTGAAAACCTGGCTCTCACAAATTTTAAAATCCAACCAAGTATCATCCGTAAATTTCCTGAGGCTTTTAGAAAGTCTGTAAAGAATTTTAGATTTATTATTGGAAACAAAACAAAAATCTAAAGAATCATTGTTTGAGTTTTTCAGTGCTAAGTTTTTTGGAGTGTGAAAATTATACTATTATCTGTGGCTTCTAATACTATAATTTTTTAAATGAATGACTTCTTAATATGATTCAAAATGATATAGTATGTGTTTATAAAGTGTGAAGCAGCTCCAACTGCATGTTTAAAATATCATATTACTTAGATGATACATATTGGTGACTGATATTAATTTTCAATTGCCAAGAGGCAATTTTGCTTTATTAATAACATCTTTACTAATATAATTAAATGGGGATGATTACTCATCCACATACTGTCATCCTCTGGCAAAATATTTATGTTTTGAAGTCATTAGAAAAATGTTAGTATTGTACTTAGGATTACTTACATATCATGGTTTATTGAAAAGTACACTTATTTTCATATGTCACAGCAGTTCTCTTTACTGTTTGAGTATTAAATGTGAAAAATCATATTAAAAGCAATGAAAATATGTATTAACAATAAGAAATACCATTTTTACTTCTAAAAAGTACTATAATCAAGAGGTAAACTTCAACATGTCATATTTACAATCAATCCCAATCTAAGCACAAACATTTTATTACTCATTAATGTTAGAATTTGGGGGAAATATAAATCTAAAATGCTTGTGGTGGTAATTTAAGTTATTTTATGATAGTAATATGCTCTTTTCATACTTTATTATTATAATTAAATTCATAACAGGAATACTGTACCTATTTTCCCTATCTATACTAAAATACTTGAACATGATGCATGATGCATGCAATGTTTATAAAAATTTAAAAATCAGGTGGTAGCCATGCAGTGATAGCTCATTCCCATAATCCTAGATACTAAAGAGATAGAGATAAGGGAAGATTATTGCTGCAGGACAGCCCCAAAAAAGAAATTTTTGACACTCCATGTCAACCAATAACTTGGTAAGTTGTCACATGCTTGTCATTCTAGGAAAATGGGAAGCATAAACAGAATTATAGTCCTTTTTGGCCAAGGCTAAAAATAAGACCTATCTCAAAAACAAAGAGAAAAATAATGGAAGCATTGGTTAAGTGGTTACAATGGCCTAAACAGCACAAAGCCTTGGGTTAAAATCCTAATACTGAAATAAATTTAGCAATTTAATAAAACTTAGTAATATGATCCTACTGATTTAGAATATTCAAGGCTGGATTTAATAAGTGAAATCTATGGGTATTTTAACCTGTTAATTTTAAATCAGAGTATTTTTTATGATTTTATTAGGAAATTTTAAGTTTTCAAGGCTTGGATTTGTAGGGGGAAATGTTAAGATTGTTAACTGCAAGATCATTATAAATAGAGATTGAATTTTGAATTGTAAATATTACAAATGTATTTTAATATCTTGATTGACTTATTCTGTCACAGAGTTACGAACTCATAAAACTAAATTGTGCTCTTATTTTATATAATTTGTAAATAGCATGCGGTATTTCTATAATTTTTAAGGCTAACATAAAAATTATACACACTGACCTTTTTTGCAACATGGGATTGAACTCACGGCCTAATGCTTGTTCGTTATATAAGTTTAGGAAAGAAAACTTTATAGTAGCAAAAGTTTTTCTTAGCAAAAATGCTGTTAGCACAAAAATTATTTTGATTAAAAATTTAAGTATGTGCTACTCAAGAAATAATAAATAACCGGTTATTTGCTGAGTTCTAGTACACTGTTGGTGAGAATGTAAACTTATTCAACCACTCTGGAAAGCAGTATGGAGGTTGCTCCAAAATAAAAATATAGAATAAATATATGATCCACCTATTTTACTCTTGGGCATTTATCCAAAAATTACAAACTATGATTCAGTAAGGTCATGGGCACAGCCATGTTCATTACCGCACTAACCACCATAGCCAAAGTATGGAATCAGCCTAAATGTCCCTCAATTGATGAATGGATGAAAAAAATGTGATGTATATATATATATATATATCATATAAATGATACATGATATGTGGTACATATATATTATATATAATCGAATTTTACTCATCCATTAGAAGGAATGGTATTTTATAATTTATTAAAAAAAATGGAAGCATATGAAAAAGTGTTAAGTAAAATAAGTCAGGCCCAGAGACACAAAGGATGTAGATTTTCCTTCATATGTGGAATTTAGAATTAAGTTATACATATGTAATTAAACTTCTTGAGATGGCATGCAAAGTATACACAGTGGAAAAACTCACAAGTTGAATTCCTTGGAAAGGCTAACTCATAGTCCAGCAAAATCAACATCAGGAAGCGAATACTTGAAAGGGAAGTAAGGTTAAATGCAGGAATTAGATGAATAAAGAAAGGAAGGATGGAGAGAATGCAGTCATAAAACAATTGATATCTTATACAATTATGAAAATGGAGGAAAGAGGAAGGATTTGGAGGAATGAGGAAGACTAATCAGAGAGATGACATTGATCAAGATGCATTGTATTCATAAACTGCTTTGTTGAATGACACCTCCTTCGTAGAAGGACTTAAACATAATAAAAATATATTTTATAAAAGAAAAAGTGAATGACCAGGTATTTGTTGAGAGTTTCCAAATTCTGAAGCCTGACAATCTCTGAGAGTGTACAATCTGGGACAGGCATTTTAAAATGTTTGTCTTTCTTATGCTTTTGTTCATATGATCCACAGCCAAATAAAGATAGTAAAGTAAAAAGTGCATATCCTGATTAGGAAGAATGACTACCTGAATTTAATATTCACTATCTAACTGTAGACAGGCTAAATGATCATTATTTTAAAAGTATTTCCTTTTGAAATTAATAATGTTTGCATGCGTACGATTTCTAATAGATTTGCATTTTGTTCTGATTTGTTCTCAGAATGTTCAGGCCCATTGGGAATTGAAGGTGGAATCATATCAAACCAGCAAATCACAGCTTCGTCTACCCACCGAGCTCTTTTTGGGCTTCAGAAATGGTATCCATACTATGCACGACTTAATAAGAAGGGGCTGATTAATGCCTGGACAGCAGCTGAAAATGACAGATGGCCATGGATTCAGGTAACAATAGCACGGGTAAAAAGTTGTTGCCAAAGCGAACTGACTCAAGAAAGCAAGTAAAAGAGAATTCACCAAAATTCTTCCACATGGTCAGAGAAAAAGATGATGTGGTTCAGAGACAAGCCAGCTACAAGCTTGAAAAATACTAAAACATGTACATGCTAAAATGATTAAAAGTCTTGCAATATGGATTATATAAATACATATGTGTATGTATATATAATATATACATATATAGTATTTAACTTATAATACTTGTGGCAATTACAAGAAATTATTTATTCTCTGTGTGCGTCTAAACAGTACTTTTACATATCCAATACAGAATAAACAATATAGAATAAACAGTAGAATATGGTATATCTGACTGTCTCCAGGACCCTCTTTCCATAACTGAGGATATCTAAGTTTATACTATCATCTATACTTATCTGCTACCTATGTTTTAAAACAAGAGAAGACAATAGCTCAGTGAAATGTTAAGTGCTTTTGCAGACACAAATAGTAGGGATGCCAACATCTGATATTCTATCTGTTTAAGTGCTTTATGAACAGTCAGGTAAAATGATACAGAAGACTAGATGATAGATGATCAAAATTGATGTCTATGAAAGATTATACCTCTGTTGAAATGGCACAATCAAATCTAACAAGTTCTTGATGCACGCTAAGGTAGTAAAATTGCAATATACAGAGAGTCAGAGTATGAAGGGATTCTTTTAAGAAAATACAGGAAAAATAACATTTGAAGTAGGCCTTGGAAGATAACTTTCACTAGATCCCAGATGTCTAGGGAATAGTTTGATCAAAGGTGCTACATGAGAACTGGGAACACCTTGTAGAAAGTCCTGACAAGTAAGGTGGCTACATGATCTGTTCATATGTAGTGGTGAGTTTGTTGTGATATAAGATCATATTAACAGATTTTGACCTCATTTCAAATGAAATGGAGAACTACTGTAGAACTCTGATTCTTTTATATGACTGATGTGTTCTTTTTGTTTACAAAAGTTTTAGAGAAACAGGAAGTACATAGTGTGATGCTATTAAGTGCAATATATAAAAGTTGTTTTATAGCCATCTCATCAAAAGGAAAATTGATTTGTAAGGAACTGGGAAGATTTCCATACTTTAGAAGCTGGGCTAGAATCCCATCCATTCAACTACTTCCTTTGCTGAGCTCTCTTATAAACCATGATATATCTTATGTGAATTCCTTTGATCCAAACCTGTACATGTTACCTAAAGGATTTGTTTGGTTTTATGAATTTGTGTTTGCATTCATGTGCAGAAATTACTTATTAAATTACCTTTGACTTTCAGTCTGTAGCCATGTGTGTAAAGAGAATTATAGAGAATGAAATTGCCGCATTTATACAATTTTCATCACATACCCAATTAAGGTTGAAAATAGATACAGAAACATGCTTGTATGCTATTTACTACTAAACACCGAAAAGTGTTTTTAGTACCTCTACTTGACTGCTTTGAAATGTATTTGTGGAATTGGATATATGATAAAAGCTTTAAAAGATCCTGACATAATATGTCCAGATTTTTTACTTTATTTGTGTGCTACTTTGTTGCATAGTTTATGCAGTGTATCATTCTGCCCTTCAGTGGATGAATTTTAAGCCCTCTTTTTCCCATGGATTGTAGAAAAAATGGCTTTACAGAACATCACATTGGTTATTTCTCAGACATGTAGATTAAACATGACTTTATCAACTTTAGCAGAATTATATCTTCTCTTATTTTAAGAACAATGATCATCATCATCATAATAAAGGATTTTCCCTTGACTGTGAAGGTGATAATGAGCTCTTAGAGAAAAAACAGTAAATGTAAGCATTATATATGCATATAATGGGTGAAAAACTAAAAATTTATCACATCCTCAATAAATACTTTGTGAAGGAGTGCAAGATATATATTTTACTATTGTATACTTCAATAACAACTCATTTCTTTAGCTATTTTTCCCTCAAAAGAAAACAATTGTCAATTATTTAAAGAAAAACTACATTATAGAGAATGAGAAGTCTAATCAAGTAGCAAATCCTGTGTTGGAGCACTCATTATTAATTCTTCTTGTCACTTAATTCTTTTATTTATATTCAGTCCTTCAAAGGAAATGTTTGAGTACTCTGCTTAAACCCACTTGTAATAAGCATTGAAATTTCCCTAATCTTTAGGGTGCCTAGCAAACATGCTCTAATTATTATTCAGTTTAATTTTCTTCCCTGTCCTGATAAATGAAAAATGAAATTGCCATTTTAAATTTACATGCTCAGAATGCAATTATTAATACTACCACAATGTTCATAATTGTTCCTGGACTTAAAGCATTAATATAGTACATGAAATAAAAAATACTGATTTTTTTCTTTTGGCAAGGTTTTATGACCTTCGTTTCTTCACTTATTCTTTTTCAGTGACTAAATAGTCCTACTATTATACATTCATTTACTAGCATTTTAGAATACAACTTTTTATCTTTGACTTATAAGTGTCAACTTTACACAGCAATGGAAATATATCTTGATTTATCTCATTTAAAAGTACAAGAAGATTATGTAAAACATTCAGATGCTTTATTAAGTAGACAGTGTTAGAATAACTATTTGTTTTTAAAATATGTAGTCCCTTTTCTCATATATATTTATTTTCTTTCATGACAATGTGCAATACATTTTTACATTTTTTACTTCTAAGGTAATTTTAGTTGCATATACATTGGATTTCTAACCGTTCAGTATTTATTGAATAAATATTTACTCTGATTCTTTCCTATAGGGAAAAATTCATGTCTTTGAGATACTCTGAATATAGGAAATTAAGAAGTAAGCAGAGAACATAACAATATAATATATTTAGACTTCTTTTATATTGTCTATTATCTTATAACCAATCAACCTATTTTAGTAGGGCTCTTGTTAAGTCTAAAAATATTTTATCATTTTAAAAAGTGGAAAAATTCGCAGTATGCTATTAATTACATAGCTACATTACTGAATGTTGTTACATTTGATGAATGTGGTATTGTAGAATACTAAAGCACATTTCTACATGAAAGTTAAGTTACTATTATGCGTGTTAGTAATAGAATTTTACCATTGAGGAAAATATAGATTTCAATGTTTTTAATGCATTACTCTTGCAGAGTAAGTGGATGTGACATTAATATGTTCTCCTATATATCGCCAACATTGTGAGTAGAACAGATTGAGATTTCCTATATTTTAATGTACTCAGAAATCATGGATCATTTACTAAAATGGAAATTGCTGATTTGCTCCTTAGACCTCTTGCAGGTCATCCTTAGACTGCACTCCTAAAATGTCAGATTTGGAAGTCTTGGATTTGTACTGCCTATAGAGAAGAGACACTTTGGCTTGCTTCTTGGGGCACTTTGTTGATGTAACCACAACTAGATATGACTGCATAGGCTAGAAAGAGAGAAACCAGTGAGAACCTATATTAAGGAAAGCCAGTAGGAAGCATGCCATTTAATGGAAAGTCTAGAAACTAGAGGGCAGCAGACCCACACTATGGCACCATCAGAAGTGCATCCAACTTCTGCAGCAAATTCACAAGCAGTACTATGCATTTGTTGCCAAACGATTGCTTTCCTAAATGACAGATGACAAATTTAAAATATCCTATAGAAAAGTCATCTGACTTCTACATTTTCAACAAAATTATAGTTAATATAGAATACCTCTCAGTTCTCAATGAGCAAAATGTGAACATGTATTACAATTTTCCATAGTACAAATTCTTTAATTAGTCTAAAATATTAGTTTTAACTTATAAAGGTGATTGCTAAAGCTGAAAACTATAGACTAATCATTAATCATTTAACACTGTAGAAAATGTGTGTGAAAATATTTGTGGTATCCTTAGACACTCAAGAATCCTTGAGTTATGCAAATCACATTTTTTGGCAATTCTGGGGTTTGGACTCTGGACTTAGTGATTGCTAGAAAGTTACTCTAATGCATGAAATATGTTCTGAAATTTAAAAAATTGGGATCCCACTTTCCTAAGGCTATACTGGACTATGATCCTCCTATTTTGCATTCTGCATAGATGAGATGATAGGTATGTACCATTTATCATTTGAAATTAGATCTCACAGACTTTAGTAATGATCTGGACCTGTGATCTCAACCTACCAATAGCTGGCCTGTTGTGAGCCACTATGCCCACCAGCATATGTCACTTTCAAAAGCCAGAGTTTATGATGTGTTCTTTTTCTTTCAGTTTAATTTCCAGATTTAGATTCTGAAGAATGTTGAATGCAGCCATTTTTGCTAACTTCTCTTCCAAGTAAAAACTGTTTTGAATGTTTTTATTTTCTGAAAATAAGCTGGATTTCCCTTGTCCATAACAAGCACTTTTCTAAGACTAAGTATAATAAGATGTTAATTTATTATTTCTTCATTAGATCTTGAAAAGAAAATTACTAATTTAAAGTTGTCTAGAAGAACTAAGATATGAAAACATAAGTGCTTGTTTTATCACTTAGAGGGTATTTGGGTATTTGCATTAAGTAAAAATACTCTGATGTTTCTGTGTTGAAAGTTAATGTATTTTATCTTCAATTATCTCAGCACTTACTATATTTATACTGTACTAGTTTATATTGATTACTCATTAACTTCCAGGAATGTGTTTGAATCTCATTTCTGTTTCCATGAGCAGGATGCTGTGATATTTACTCACAGACCTATTTTTAAATCTTGAAGCCGAGTTTCTTTTAGGTTGTCTATTGTACCCCATTCTGTCTGCCTGTTGACATCCAGCATCCTCGCTGTTCTGGGTTTCTTGGCATTCAGCACATTCATGGGCTTACTCCACTGCTGTGTTGTGCACATATACTGTATGGCTCAAGTACTGATTTTATTAATATTCATTAGATACTGCCTCATTATTCTATTCTCTATAATGTATTTCTTGTCTCTTCTCTCCAGAGTTTGAAGCAATCAACTTTATTC